ACAGAGCTTCAGGTTTACTCCACGGCCCCTTCGATCTAAGGTTGCCACTGCAACCCAGCCCTTTCTGTGCTAATCCTTTACTAACGGTTGTTATCATGTGTTAATATTTCTTTAAATCCCAACCTCTGTTATTACTACAACCTCCATGAGCAATCTGCAGTTTTCAAGACAGTCTTTATTGCCCTACTTTCCTCCTGCCTCGCCAGTGGAATTCATGAACCTACACAGTTTCACTATTAGGAAGACTAGACTCAAGTTTGGGTGAATTGTCTCGGAAACCAGACAGTTTGGAAAGGCGGATTTGAAAAACTGCACCTCCCTACCAGGCCTCTGAAGACTGTGTTTGTCAGGTAGCTTTCCTCCTTGGACATGGGGAGCATGCCCAGCTCTGGCCCATGGGAGGGCTGCATCGGCATATGGGAATGTCACACTTATTTAGGGATAATGTTGTGCCCAGACTCTTGCCCCCAAAGAGACCACCAGGGAACCGGGACTTGGATGCAAAAGCAAGGTTTATTCCAAAGCGCAGTACGAGCCTAGGCACCGAACTCGTCCAGCACACTCAATGCAGTGAGGGCGGGAGGAGCTGCCTTCGAGAGATTGCAGGACTTTTTATAGACAATCTCACAGGACCACCAGTTGTCACCTAACTTTTATACATGGACCTAATTGAGGACAGCAAATTCCAAAAGCATGACATCATTATGTAAATGAGTGCGTTGTTCTCAGTTGGCCCCTCACTATCTGTCCTTGGGGTGTGTAGATGAAGCGTACTATGGACACATTTTTAATTGGCCACTTCTTGGCCATCCTTGAGGCAATGCTCTCCTAGTTGGCTCCTGGCCCTTGTCACGTGTGGAATGTTTGAGCCTAGCCTAAACAGTGTGGTTCAGGTGGAAAGCAATTAGCTCACTCTGACACTGACTGGTTTCTGTCATTTCTCTTGCTATCACTTGCCACGGTGCACAACACCTGATCTTGACTTGGGGAATTAGTTTGCTATGTAGGTGGATCTCAGTGGTCTACTCTGCAGTCACCAACACGAGTTACACACTCGAGCTTGAGGTCAGTGGTCTGTCTTGGCCGTGTTCTGTCCATTTGACCTTCTTGAGTTACACAGTCTGATTACGTCTCCTGAAGCAGCTACAGGGAAATCATGGGTGAATATTTGATGGCAAGTGCTTTAAGCCTATTCTTTTTATTAATGCTTTATTCATTATATTAGGGGAAGAGAGGTGGGCTAGGATGAGACTTTACCCAGCATGCAGACTATCAATTAATTTCCAGCTATACTACCCCCCCCAAAAAAAAAAAACTACAGAAAGAAAAGGAGCAAGACTGAGTTTAAAAATAAAAAAGGAGATGGTGGTGCACACCTTTAACCCTAGCATAAGGGAGGCAGAGTCACATGGATCTCTGTGAGTCCAAGACCAGCCTGGTCTACACAGCAAGTTTCAGGACAGCCAGAGGTATATAGTAGAGAAACCTGTCTTTAAAAATTAAACAAACAAAAAATAAGGTGAGGGTCAGTTAATTCGTCCAACTGCTCTTACTGGAAGCAAAAAGTGATTTGAGAACTGCTGGTCACTGTAAAGAAAACATTCAATTTTCTGATATGATGCAGCAAAGTTCCTAGAGGAATCGGAACAAGTCTGTGTTCAGAATCTGACTCTGATGTTTGTCTTTTCTGTTTGCCGTGCTTAGGACTAAACCCAGATGGAGCATGCTAGGTAGCTCTGCTGCCACTGAGCTAGTGAACCCTGACTCTGCTTCACGGTATCCTGATGGCACCCTAAGGAGCTTGGCTGAGTTCATCCATCTGTAAAGGAGGATGCTCTAATACTTACGTCAGGGAAAGTAATTGATATATAAACAGAATACTGCAATGATAGCATTTTAAAGACTTATTTTAATGCAGTGTGTGTGTGTGTGTGTGTGTGTGTGTGTGTGTAGGAAGCCTTATGCCTGTGTGTTCAGCACCTGTAGAGGCTAGAAGAGGGCACCAGATCCCCTGGAGCTGGAGTCACAGGCAGTTGTAATTTGTCACATGTGGGTGCTATGAACTGAACTCTGGTCTTGGCAAGAGCAGTTCACATTCTAAACCACTGAGCCACCCCTCCACTCCTCCATCGGGCAGGTTTATAACAGCGGAGTTTCACATCCCCAAAAGGTGAAGCTACAGGTACTCTGATATTCATAAGCTAGATTAGTAAGTTTTCTTACCATCAGGGAAAATTGTTCTTCAACTTGTTCTTGCTGTGTCTAGACAAGGGGACCTATCCTGTCTAATGGATGCAGGCAGTTTGGCTGTTGTTGACTCATTCAGGCTTGCTACAGTTGGCCAGATTTGATCTGAAGACACAATGTTACTTCACAGAGATGTTACACAGGGATGCTCTTTAAGGAAGCTGCTGCCTGCTGCTTTGTAAGCACTCAAAAAACAAAACAAAAAACAAACAGAAAAAAACAGTGTTTTGTTTTTTTTTTTTTTTTTTTTGTCCCGTTTCTTGCCTTGGTGTTAACTCATTGCTTGTTCAGTATAATTAGAGAGTTAAAAGTTTGTCCCCTCCCACAGAATGTGTTGAGCAGCCATTTCACAATCCAGAGACGGAGCTGGCAAAGGCAAGCTGGGGTAGACCCTTGAATACACACTACCATTAAGGAAAAAAAAATCTCCTGATAATGCTTACATGGGGCTCTGAAGTACAGTAACCAACCAGTGCATAATTAAAATCTCAGCTCCTTTGGGAATGAAATGAGTATTTTTTTTCTTTTTCAAATTAAAAGGTAAAGGGATTTAGAGCAAACTGAAGAGTTACTACACCTTTGAGAGAAAAACAAATTGAATGTTATTGCTAAGAACAGGATTGTGTGCTGATACTTCTGTATTTTCCCTCTAGCATTTGAACTTTTTCCTCACTGGACTAAAACTAGAAACCAAGTCTTTGGCGTTTACCTGCTGTACAACTTGACCAGTATTGTTTGAGAGGTAAAAATGAATGAATTAGAATGTTGACATCTTCCTGTTCGTCCAAATCTTATGAATTAAAGTCCCCCCCCCCTCCTTTGGTAAATATCCTTCCAGAGGATTCAGCACTGATTTAAAACAATCACCCTGTTTTTTATAGCTCTGTCCTACTCCTTGGAATGCCCCATTTCTCTCTGATTCAGTCACTCGCCAACTATGCCATCAAAAGATTGCTGTAAGTTAGGACCAACTGATTGGGATCCGGGCCAGTTCTCAGAAGCTAGCCTGGGAATGTGCAATGGCTTCAATCATTAGCCCCAAAGCTCAGCTCCCAAGTATGAAGAGTTTCAGGGGGAAAGCCTTGTAACACCAGATCTCCACCAGGCTTCTGAGGACAGTGAGGACCCCCCAGCCAGGCCACAGAAGTCGTGCCTGTCAACAGAAACCAAGCAAAGTCAGCTCTATGTTCAAAACATGCTCCAAAGTGCATCCACACTTCTTGCTTCTCCACAATCTGCACCTTGATCACCTCTTATCCTGCCTTGGAGGCCAGTCCTGACAAGACCTCTGTCATTCCTTTGCTGGGACGGGTGTTTTCAGGTACCGGCACCTAGCCAGGTATCTCAGGAGGACAGAGTCCATCTCTGAGGTTTCTTCGCCTTTCTGCTATCTGTCAAGTGCTTTCGGTTTTCAAGTAGTATCAGCAATTCGATAAGGTCCTTTGTAGGAGACTGAACAACCCTCGGGACTGCCTCCCTATCTCCCAACTCCTTAAGGCTGGCTTAAGATAACCACTCTTTTGGTTTGCCCACCAAAGGAATGAGATAGGAGGTTAAATCCTAGACCAGGCAGGAAGTGAAGCAGTAACAGGTTGAAACAGGTGCCTGGGGAGAGCGGCCTGGCTGAGCAGCGCCCAGGCTTGCCCACGTGCGGCCAGAAGCTTTCTTGCACAGCCTTCCAGAGCTTGCTAAAGAACAGCTTGACCAAGGCCTTTGGGAGGAAAGATTTAACTGAATCAATCCACCCGCTGCTTTCGATTTGTTTAGGTGCATTGTAAACACCTCCATTCTCAGTTTTATATACCAGCCCCACCCTAGCAATGTTCTGGTTCCCTCTTTCCACACCCATTGCAAGATACTTTTTTTCTGAACAATTTGCTCAGCCTAAAGGTGTTCTCCCCGTCCAGTTTCTACTTTCCCCTTATTAAAATTCCTCTTTGGAAATCTGGTGCCCGTATGGTGGGCGTGCCACCTTGGAACTTTCTCTTTAGCGGTCGGAGAAAAGGTTGGGAGGGGGTATGAAGGAATCAGTGGATCTGTTTCTCATCTTCCTTTGTGGGCCCCAGAGAAGACAGAACACAGCCCCTGCAGCACGGAGACATTGGAGGGTTCTTCCAGTTTCCCCGCCACCCTGACCTCGGGGCCTGTCTAGTCACTGGCGCATTACAAGAATTCGCCTTTTGTTGATGTATCACTTTGTCAGTGCTGGCATTGTGAATATTGATTGTACTACAGAAATACTATGAAATTACCTTTGTTCTTTCTTGTTCAGCTCTCTACTCTGCTCACAATCTTCTGATATCATTAAAATGGGCTGATAAATAAGTAACATTAAAAACTTATTGGGGCCGGGCGGTGGTGGCGCACTCGTTTAATCCCAGCACTCGGGAGGTAGAGGCAGGCGAATCTCTGTGAGTTCGAGGCCAGCCTGGTCTACAAGAGCTAGTTCCAGGACAGGCTCCAAAACCACAGAGAAACCCTGTCTCGAAAAACCAAATAAATAAATAAATAAATAAACTAACTTATTAAAATATTGTATCTTCTAGTTAGGCAGCCAAATGACATTTTTGTCTGTGTAGCGACAGACTGGAATTTATATGAACTAAGCCATTATAACCTTCACCAGTCACTTCCAAAATTTATACTATCAGCTTAGTGTAAAAAAAAAAAAATGTAAGTTACAAAACAGTGAGACTGTGACATTTTTAACTTAATGTTTTCTAGAAAGCATAAGAAATACAGCTGCATTTTATAATAATTTTTTTTATTTCTTTGATAATGTCATAGCGATGTTTTGCTGTTAACCGCAGTGACATTGCAGTCCCCTAGTCTGTTGGAATCGCAGCTGAGTAGAATCCTCGTGTTCCCAGCATAGGAGCACTGAGCAGCGGGAATGCGTTTCTTCACGTTATCAAGCATCTGCCTGCGAGACGTCAGGTGATGTATTTATGAGGTCTGGTTCACAGAACAACGAGGCATGAGGAGAAGTTTGTTAAGGATTTCAATAAACTGGAATTAGCAAGAAAAAAGCACAAATCACACATGTCAAAACAACAACAACAACCAAAAAACAAGTGTTAAATCCGTGTTCTAATACCATAGTGGGGAAAGACAATAGGAAATGAACATAAACGTGCAATAATTTAACCCAAACCATGTCTCTACACAGTTAAGAAGAGTATCCTATACAATGATATAAAATGACTTTTTTTTTTTATTTTGGAAAGCACTGATCATAAATACTTGAATAAAAATTAACTGAGAACTCATCAAGCCCTCTTTCGGCCAATGACTTAGAAGTGTGTTCTTTGTTGTATGACGTTTGGGTACTAACAGTGCCATCACTGGGTCAAACCCCGGCAGTGATAAATAGATTTCATCTTATATGATCAACTTGCAACCTTCGCTAGGTAGATGTCTATCGGGAGGACACTGGACTTGGTGGCGTTGATGGCACGCAGTTCACTGAGAGCTGGGAGAGACTATTCCTCGCCCTTCCCGACCACCTAGCCCCTCCACGGTGGCGGCAGACACAGGAGCAGGCAGCGGTGGTCACAGGATCGCTGCTCTCCTCACACAGGCCCACGGCAATGTGACTGCATGAACGAAGAAAAAACCAAAGCCAGAATGCCAGAGCACCTGGTCTCTGCGTCTCTGATTCTGAACTTGGTCTGATTTCTTTGACGAGTGATGAAATATAGTTGAATCTATGCTACGATCCTCTTAAAAAAAAAAGAAAAAGCAAAAACAAAAATACGGAGACATCTGTGGAGGAAAGCATGGAAAATATGATCCTCTCCTGGGCTGTTCCTGTAAAATATAGCCACAGTCTTTCTCAGACAGCCACACTGGTCGTGACCTATACATTCTTTTCAAAGTACATCACTGAGTCTAGTGTCAAGATGTGGTTCATTGGTGCAAAAATAGATAACACTTGCTGTGCCAAATTAAGGGGTCCCTTCAGACATCTCTTCTGCTGACGGGCGTATTGGTAAACTACGCTGTAGCCCATGGATGGGATGCTGCATTCCCGTCCTCAGAAGCTGATGTCACAGCAGCACAAGTGGCTCTCCAGATCCTCTGAGTTCCCCCTTAACGCCCTACGAGTACTCCCTTGTATGAGTTATTGCATTCCTGAAACTGTGCGTGTATAGCTTTGTACGGAAGTGAGAGATGCTGGAGCAGAGAGCTTTGTGCATGATCCTTCTTTGTGCTGATATACCGAAACTGTGAAAGCAGCCCAAAAATTTACAAAAGTACTAAAAAGAGAGAAGGGTGGGGAGACGCCGTTCTTGTTCTTACATGGAGACAGGGTCTTACTATGTAATCCTGGCTGGCGTAGAACCCGTTATATAGAGTAGGATGGCTTCAGACTCACAGAGATTGGCCTGCCTCTGCCTCCCAGAATCCTGGCATTAAAGGTGGGCCCTGTCCCACGCAGCAAACAAACCAAAGAAAATTAGTAGGTGATGGCTGTGGAGGGATTGAGAGTTAGTGAATCACTGCTTTCCAACCACCTACACACAACACATAGGAAAGGATCATCCATGGCCTCTCAGACCATGGGGTTAAAATACTGACAAGAAAAAGATCATTCACCATCAGAGTCAACCACAGTATATTGGGAGAAGCGCTTCATCTATAATGAGAGGAACCTGGCCAGCAGAAACTTAACCAAACGACTGAAAGTTACTATTAATTTTTGGGGGGTATACATATGTATGTGCCTGTTCACACGGTGGGGGAACACACGTGTACTGATGCATACGCACATGCAAATGTGTGTGTGGCTGCCAGAGTGGTATATGTGGTGTCTTCTTCAGAAGCGCTCAGTCGTGTATATGAGGCCAGATCTCACTTGAGCCCGGAACTCTCAGGTTCAATTAGCCTCCCTCACCAGTCTGCTCAGGTGATCCCATTCTGCCTCTCCAGTGCTGGGATTGCAGCCTGGACACAAGCAGACCTACAGGCCCAGGCTAGACACAAAACAAGCAGGCACAGGCTGGACACAAACAGGCCCAGGCTAGATACAAACAGACCTACGCCAGACACAAACAAGCCCAGGCTAGACACAAGCAGACCCAGCATTTGTGTGGGCTCTAGGGATCCAAACACTGGTCCTCAGGCTTGTACGACAACTACTTCACCTGCTGTGCCATCTCCCCAACTCCCTTTCTCTTTCATGGAGATGAGACTGTAAGTTGTGAGGCCCAGTAATTTAGCTACTCCCAGAGAACACTGGAATTGACAGCTGTGAGGAAAAGAAACACAATGTGGGGGAAGAAATGCTGGGAAACATTCCATGCTGTTTGACTGGAATGGGAGGAAGCTCGTGAGCATGCTGCTTTAAGGAAATGGTAACTCATAGTAGATCAGTATGTAAGTAGAAATAGATATAGTGAAAGAAACAGTTGTGTGTGTGTGTGTGTGTGTGGTTGTAGGCATAGCTAGCTGTGTACACACACACACACACACACACACACACACACCAAAATTTCCAATTTCCTAGTGCAGTCCTTGGGAGGCCCAAGAAGTAAAGAAATCTTCTCAACTATGAACACAGCTCGTGCCCAGGTTTAAGTTTTGTTCTGTTTTTGTTTCCTTGTTTTCTGAGACAGGCTCTTGCTATGTAGACCAGGCTGGCCTCAAACCAATAGGGGTCTTGTCTCCACCTCCCAAGTGCTGGGATTAAAGCATGTACTACCACATCTGGCCAGACTTAGTTTTCTAGAAATCATTCCACAGCAAGAGAAAGCAGGACTTCTTGAAGAAACGACCAGCTCCATCACCAAAGCAAGAATACCATTCTGGGATAGAGAGGCTCAAGGGACCATAATAATGGGGCCACATGAACAGAGAGGCTGAATCCGGTTCAGTGAAGCTGCTCCTCCCTAGTGCTGGCAAGGCTTCAGCTTGTCCACTCAAATTGGTCTCAAGCAGTTCCCAATGACTGGGAAAGCTGAGAACATGCTGAGTCAGAAAGGTGACTAGAAGACAGAGCTGAAAGTAGGCTATCCAGCGAGCTGGTGGAAGAGTCAGTCCGTGGGGACACTAGTGGATTGGCAGGCAAGAAAGTTTCCATTTTGTTGTGAAATGCTGTGCTCTACAAAGTGCTGGCAAAATGCAACAATTACAGTAATGATTGGCATGGACAAGAATAATTAAAAATGCAAAGCCTGGTGCTTTCAAGTTGATGAGGAATGGGATGTTTACTGTTTCGGATCATTTTTAATTGCTTATTGATCAACGATAGCATGCTTGTGATTTATTTTAAAGTGAACAAACTGAAATATGCCATCTTAACCAAGTTTTCAACATTAATAGCATGAGATAAAAGGCAAACGGATGGGGCTCAGGAAGTTGCCCAGCTGGTAGAGGCCTCGGCTGGTGTGCCCGTGACCTCAGCACCACTTGAACCCAGTGTGGCATTGTGCTCCACTGTGGAAAACTGACTGGACAGGATGTTTGAGGCTAGCCTCGTAGACATAAGACCCTGTTTGAAAACAAAGGGAAAAAGACAAAGTGACATCAGACAGGTCTTGTTCCAATGCTCCAAAGAGACCACAACAGTGCTTACATTATATTGTTGATTTTTGTTATTTTGTTTAGAAAACCATAAAGCATGAGGAAGCATTAGACAAAACCAAGCTGAAAACATTTTTTAAAAAATATTTATTTATTATTATTTTATGTGTATTTGTATTTTGCCAGCTCATATGCACGAGGGTGCCAGATTCCCTGGAACTGGAGTTACAGACAGTTGCGAACTTCCATGTGGGTGCTGGGGATTGAACCTGTGTCCTCTGAGAGAGCAGCCAATGATTTTAGCCTTTTCTCCAGCCCCTACTGGGGGCTTCTTACAAAATAATTTCTAATTCGTCATTGCCAGTGGTGAAAGAACAATATATATTATCTCATTTAACCCAATCAGGAACCAGAGAGAGAGACTGATAAAAGGTTTCGAGGGACCCAAGAAAGGGACCCAAGCAGCATGTAAAATAACTATATCACATGATTCCTGATGGACTGCCATGGTCCAGCCGCATGACTCACAGTGGACACTACTCGGATAGCTGCTATTTGAGTGGAACCTGTAGTTAGACAGACAGTGATGCTGATCTAATTCATGCTCGCTTCTTTAGTTTGATGGTCGTGATGTGGCTTTGTGGGACATTGATCTTTGCACAGAGAAAGACACTGAGACTCGAGGTAAGCAATGATGCATGATCTACATGGTTTTCTGGAATGACAGAAATCGAAAAATCTGGGTATTGGGCTTCCAGGGATTTGTATACACCAGAAAACCTTACAAATAGATCACCAATAAGTCTAGTTCTTACAAAATGCAAAGTTAAGAAACCATGAAACAAAGACGTAAAATTGTGTTTGGAATGACAAACTACAAACCTGCGTAATTTAAGAGTTAAAGTAACCACAGGGGCAGTGATGGCTCTGTGGTTAAGAGCACTGGCTGCTCTTCAGAGGACCTGGGGGCAGCTCACAACCATCTTTTACTCCATTCACAAGGGATCTGACGCCCTCTTCTGGCCACTGGGGACACTGCACATGTGTGGTGTACAGACAACCCTGTAGGTGAAACAACCAGACACACAAAATCCAAAAAAACAAAAATAAAGACATAAAGAAATAATTATATTTTTAAAATGATTCTGAAATGGTAGAAATCAAAGAATGTGATTGTTGATCTTCAGGGATTAGTGCACATCACACAACCTTACAAAACATTACCGATTAATTATTTCAAAATGCAGTTAAGAAGACACAAGAACAAAAAGACCTACAACAACATAGAAAGTTGATATTTAAAATTGCACAAAATAAATTTAAATATCCAAACTTGTAGGTAATAGCTGTGATAACTTTAGAAGAACCAGAAAATTTTAAATACTTATGTTGCTAAAATTCCTTCCCAAAGGAAGAATATCTATCAATGTCTATCCCTCCTCCCAGGGTTGCTACTATAAACCATGGCAAGATTCCATCAAAGTTCGCTCTGGGCAGCCAGTGAATTTATTAGGCTTCTTTATAGAGCCTAGGGTGGGAGGCTACTTGCAGGGGGTATGGGCACTCCTTTTCCAACTGGCCGTACCTGGAAGAATTTACCAAACAGAGAGCTACTCCCTAGTTGCATAGATACAGCCCCAGCTCTAGTCTTCCTAGGTCTCTATACACTCCATTGCCTTCCCCAGACCACACACAGTGGTGCTGGGTGGGAGGGAGTGGCTGGGTTCTCAGGTAAGAGTCTCACGCCTTATTGCCCCTCTATGTGGGGGTGCACACTATCAACACCCAGTTGAGATGATCTTTTGTAAAGTGGGGGGAGGCAGATAGACACCCCAAGATGGCAGTTGCTTGGCCAGAAGGCAGTCACACAAGGCAAGTTAGGGAATAAGAGCATATGACGTCTGCAACAGCGTAGACAGACAGACTTCAGAGTACACTGTGATAAGTGAAACAAGGTAAAGACAGTATGATCTCATAGGTGGAGTCTAAAAGGTGAACTCACAGAAGCAGTGAGTGTTCAGACCAGTAGCAGACAGACAGACAGACAGATATTGACAGATGGTAAACGACAGAAAAGTGTGGCAAACGTTAACACTTGGAATATGGGACACGTGCTCTGACAGCTGGGTGCTCGGCGAATTGTGAATTTTTCTGAGTGTTTCATGAAGGTGTGAAAGTTAAGAAACGCTTTTTGACACTGTGTGCTAGGAAAAACAAGACTTCCTTCTTCAAGGAAATTTAGTTCTCTGGAAGATATATGACCAAATCTCTGCAGCAGGCGTTAACATGTGCATGCATTCATACATAAAAATATGCAGAATGAGAAGAGGATTTTATCAGTGTTGTTATACCTTTTAAATATAAGAAGCAATTATTATGCAAAATACACAAAATAAGAAAAACACAGAGAATTGTTTAATACCATGTTCTAGATATAATCCCTGTTAGTTAACTCTTCATTGGTGTTGACTTTCTCTCACTGTTTCTGTGGTGCGTGTCTGTGTGTGCACGTGCATGCATGAATGTGTGAGTGTTGTGTGTGCACACGCGTGTGTATGTGTGTGTGTCTAGGCATGCATTCTCTCCACTGGAGGCTGGAACTGCTAAACTGGAGTCACGAAGAAGTTTTGGCTTTGTTCTTTTTCACTCACATCATCATGAAGTCATTTCTTGGCCGTGAACACTTACCGGAAAATTCCATTGTAATGGTGTGCTGTGTTCATTTGACCCCTCCACCGACACCGTTGTTGAAGATTTTGAACATTTTTCAATGATTCTGTATGAATTATTCGAAGGAAATTATTCTTAGAAAATTAGGCTTTGTTGTTATTGTTTTAGATTTTTGAGCTAGGATATCCTCATATAGCCCAGCGTGGCCTTCAACTTCCAACTCTACCTCAATGTCCTGAGAGCTGGGCAGGCACCGCCATATCCGGCCTATAATTTCTGATATCCTCACTCAGGTATGGTCCATGCCTCCATTTTGTAACATGAGATGCTATTTCCCCTGTGATTTCCTAGTTCTTTTAAAATAGTTGTTTATAAAAGGACAGTTTATTATATTAGCTACTATTGATAATGCATGCTAAAATAACAAACGGTAGCATTAGGTTCTGTATTAAATTAGCTACTTATCACAATGTGAAGCGTAATTCCTCACTTGAGCTGGGTCTAGTGGTCTGGGATTGTCATTGTAGCCTGGATCTGAGGAGGCTGAGGCATGAGGGTTGCAAACAGGCTTGTTTCAGCTTGGAGAGTTCACTTCCAGCCAACTTAGTGAGACCTGTTTCAAAATAGAAAGTGAATACGGAATGGGTATAGCGCAGTGGCAGCCAGCTGACTGTGGCAGCTAGATTTTAACGGCAATTTGACAAAAGCTAGAACCACACAGGAAGAAGTAAGAACCACATCGGCCTTTGGGTAAGCCTACAGAGCATTTTCTGGATTGATGATTGGTGTGGCTTGTCCCTGCTCATGAGCAGTGTGACCCTTGGCAGGTTGTCCTGGATGCTGTAAGAAAACAGACAGCAAGCCACGGAAAGCGAGCCAGCAAGCAGCACTCCTCCACGGCCATTGCTTCTGTTCCTGTCTTGAGTTCCTGCCCTGGCTTTCCTAGATGATGGACTAAAAACTGCAAGATGAAAGGAAGCCTTTCTTCTCCAAGCTGCTTTTGGTCATGGGGTTTTGTCACCGCAGCAGAACCCCTGAAACTTGCCTAAAATGAGGGAGGCCCTAGGTTCATTCAACAATACAGAGAAAATAAAATTTTACTTACTCTTCAACTTCTGAAAGAAAATTTTGATATAAGATACATCTCAAAGAAAGCATTACATTCATTTTTCTCTTGTTTAATTCTTTTCCCTGTGTCTTCCTTTCCCAAGTTCTTCACTGTAGATTTATTATGTCCTGAGTTGGAAATGTTTTTGTGTGTACATGTAAGTAAACCGAAAAAAAAAAATCACCCAATGGAATAACAGTTACAGAAAATCTTACCTGTCCTCTTGAGAAAAAAAAAATCAAGGTCAAGAGAAACAAAGGGGAGAGGGTTTCACAAACTTCTATAGAGCATGGAATTGGTGGGATTTTCTGTAGGATAATAGAGCGGCATCCATTACATTGTTACATGGCCACGACTATGTCCCTATTTTAACACTTCAAGAACGTGTGCAGACATTTTCGTTTTTGAAGAACAAGAAATAGCATGGCTAATGGGGATCTTAAAACCCCCAGCCGGTGACTTACACTTGTGTGCGTCAATCCCCTCTGCCCTTCAAGGTTTTCTTAAGTGAGGTGAGACGTAGCAAACGAGTGGACAATGGGATCCACCATGCGGCTCTGTCCCCAACTGCCCTCGGCAGATGTGCTAACGATCTGTGCAGCGGCAAAGCTGGCATCTGCGGGGGCGAGAGAGTGGAAATGAAAGCTGCCTAGTCCTCAAAGAGCCAACCAACTGCTGAATAATTAAGGTCCCAGCAGATGAGAAAGACGCCTAACGAGTCCTGCCTGCTCAGCCCTCTCATTATAGGAAGCAGAACGGTGGTGCAGACTAAGGCCCTCCACCAAGGGCTCCCAGTAGATGCGCTAGCCTGTCAACGGGGACCCACAAATGAATTAAGTGGGCTGAGAATAGAGACGAGAATGCCGGCAATTAGAAAGATGCTAAATGAGTTTCCAGTACTAAGTGTTTAAACCCTCTTCAGAGCCTCCCTTTATGTTACTTTTATTCCCATTAAGAAATGTTAACAGATAAAATGGATTAACTGCAACCACAGAAGGCCTCCGACAAGCTTGTAAAGTCTCATAGATGGCAACGAGAGAGGAAAAGTTTTTTACCTCACCCAATTGCAATTCACAATTGGACAGAATTCTCTGGTGGGTGTGTTATAGCTAGCTACTCTTGCCCATTTTCAACCTCTCTGAAATAGCTTTTTTTTTAATAACCTGGGAAAATTTTTCCTGATAAACTTTCTGAAATTCTTGTCTAAAATATTTGAATATACGTGCATGTGTGTATGAGTCCACGTGTGTCTATGTTCATCTGTGTGTGTATGTGTTGTGATAATTCCATTAAGCAATCAGAAACATGAGAAAATGAAGGTCCCTTCCTTCTGAGAGTTATTGATACAATATATGAAAGATGCTTGCAGTTAAGACCTTAAAAAATATGTAGAATGATTAGTACTGTCTGCAGTGTGTGGTGATTGCAAGTACACGTTCTTTTGTTACATTTGATTGACTGAGACTAGGTTTCACTACATTGCCCCAACTAGCCTCGAACTTGCTACTTAGCCCAGGCTGGCCTCCAACTCACAGAGACTCACCTGCCTTTGCCTCCCAAGTGTTGGGATTAACTGCTTGCACCACCAACCACACTAGGTGCACACTCATCTGTGTGAATGTAGACACATACATAGTGTTCCTGTGGGGGGTCAGAGGACAGCCTTGGGGGTCTGTCATCTTCAGTCTTGTTTAACAGGGACTCTGTTGCTCTCCTGATGTATGTGCCAGCCTAACTGGCTGCCAAGCTTCTAGGAATTCTCGTATCTTGTCTTTACTCCCCCTCTCCCCAGGAGCGTGGGGGTTGAAGACTCTTGAATTACTATGCCCAACTCTTCCACACAGATTCTGAGGATTCAAACTCAAGTAGATCTTCACATTAGCATGGCTTCCAAAGGAGCCGTCTCGCAATTCCGGGTTTGTTCACTTTGATGCTACTCTTTCTATCCAGGTTCACAGATGTTTACATGTTGTTACTAATTACTTTACCTCTCAGAATCTAAAACACTTCTCCTCCTCAGCATAGTATATGTTTTATGTTGTGATTTCTGTTTTGTCTTAAGACGGAACTCCTCGTGGCTGGAGACATGGGTCAGTAGTTAAGAGCACTGGCTGCTCTTGAGGACCCATGTTTGGCTCCCAGCACACACATGGCTCACAACTGTCTGTTACTCCAGGCCCAGGGGATCCCAGGGCCACTTCTCAGCTCTGTGGACACCAGGCACACACATACATGCTGACAAAATACCTATACAGATAAAATAAATAAATTTAAATTTTTAATTACAATAAAAATAGAAATCTTTGATTAGAATATTAAGCACTCTTGGAATTGTAATCAACTCTACCCAGGGCACAGGAAGGGCACCTGGAATACTGGCAACATTAAGCATAAACTACTAGGTTCTTCCATACATTCTAGACACTAAAATGACCTCTAGATAAACACAGCAGTTTTAAATTTATCAAATTAGTTATTTATGTTTTCGGTTTATCTGCTCTTATCTCACCGGCTCTTGATGTAATCTTTGGTTGTTGCTGAATTGCCTTTCTTTTGCAGAATCAGCACAAATCCAGTGACACTAATGAAAGCCACCTGTCACCATGCCCGTGCCCATGTACTAGCTCCATAAACTCCATCATAGTGTGAGTGTCCATACAGGGGACTGTGTGCTTAAACCTGGTGAATACAATAATACATTGAGTCTCAAAGACTCATGAAAGAACTTTTTAAAAAAGAATCTAGTATTTAAAAAATACGGGAAGCTATAATTGTAATTACAGAACTTTTCTCAAACCCATGGTGCTAGGTTCTAAATTTTGAAATCATAAATTTATTTGTAATCAATCTTATTTTTTTCTGGTTACCTACCTTATATTTATTCTATTTGTACCAGCTCAAATTTCTTTGGGGTTAAGTGCTTCCTCCCCAGTGCATGGACCCCGAGTCAGACTGTGAATTAAGTGTTACATGCTCCTTTACAACTAAAGGGCCACCAAGGCAGCTACTAGCCCACAGCCAGGGCAAAACTAGAGAAGGTCAAGGGAGGTACCCTGCATGCAACAAACACCTTCATGCTTCAGCAGCAAGGGAAAACCCGAGCGTGAACACCCCCTTAATCCTGCCCTTTAGGTAACACACCTTATCCTGTGCTCTGATCCCTAGAATCCATTCTCTTCTTCATCTCTAATAACAGAAGGCCCCAGGGTTTTAGTCTGGGGACCACACTTGCGAACTTTACTCCAGATCTGCTTCGACATCGACGTGGCTGTCAGCAAATGGGAAGTGAACATGGAGAGTGAATGCAGTGTCTTGGTTGCTTTCTGTCTTCAAGGAAGTTGCACAGCTCTGCAGTTCTCTGCCTCCTTTTAGTGTACATAACTGAAGATTGGAGGCTAGGGTCTGGAGGTGGGGCCCCAGAAAACAGAGCAAACTGGGATTCTTGGATGACACTGTGAGCAGACAAAAAAAAAAAAAGGAAGGAAGGAAGGAAGGAAGGAAGGAAGGAAGGAAGGAAGGAAGGAAGGAAGGAAGAAAGGAAAGAATATTTTCTATCGCAACATTTTCTAATACAGAAATTACTGGGTCAACATTCTTGATAGGTTTTCTGTCTTTGATTTAAATTTCTTTCTATGCAATCACAGAGACAAAACTATAGGGAGAAGTTCTTTGTACTTTTCCGAGATGGCAAGAGTAATAACTCTTACCCCACAGTAGGCACTTGAGGACAGAAAAGTGAAGAACTTTTTATTCACACGGCCTTCTGTGGTGGGGAGCTATTGTAGTTGTTTCAGTGAAATGATTGCACCAGGACCTTTTAGCAACACTAAGTTGCCAACACTAAACATCAGGACAATAACTTTATTCCCAACACAGAGCTGGGCAGGCATGAGTACATACAGCATGATGTGTTGGCAGAGGAGGAGGCATGAACTGGAGCAGGGATGCTCACCTGCCAAGGACTTACAAAGTCGAGGCTTTGCCTGGAGCCATGATGAATGTCACAGATTCTTCCCCTGTTCTTTCCAGCTGAATCTGTAGTTTCTTTTACAGAGTAAAAGAAGTCGTTCCATTTATTGTGAGCTTAAGTTCGCTGTTCTGCTTTGGAGGTCCAGCTGCTAACAATGAACCCAGCTGTGGATTTGAATAAACATGTGTTTGAAATCTGCTTCATTCTTTCATTTGACTTTGGGAGCTTCTGTTGAGCATTGTGACAAGTGCTTTATCATGACCACGGGGCGTTAAGTATGAAACCAAGACAGAAGTTGATTCTGAGAAGTTATTTCTTTTTTTATAGAAGAGTATAAATTGAATCATGGTGCCACATGCTGGTGATTCTAAGTCTTGGGTGAAAGAAGCAGGAGGCTCAGTGATTCAAGGTCCACACTCTGTTACATAGCTAGTTTGAGAGTAACCTGGACGACCACAACAACAACGAAAAGAATAACGTAAAGCAAACAAATAAAGTATAAAAGGTTCACCATAGATTCACTGGGACTTACTTCTAAGTTTGGAAAATCTAAATTACTATTGTCCAAGAGTAATTTTATAATGTGGAATATTTAATTTGCTTATTAAGAATATGAGTACCGTAGCCTGTAATAAATGAAAAACATACTTGTGAATTTTCATGACTACCAAGCCAACCACATTCTAAAATCATTAGCAATGCTTAGTTTAATGAGATTGGCCCTTTTCATATTTAAGATAACACTATTCAATTTGTTTACAAAGAAACTAGAAATTCCTTACTTTTCCTGTAAGCATTGGGATTTATATATATTTCCTGTATGGACTTAGCCAAGGGTTGAGCACTTTACACATTTTCCAGGGGATGATAAAAATATGACCTCTCAAAACCACAAAGGATTTTATTTGTGGCGTATGTGCATGCATAGACCTGTCCCATTGTCCTGTCGTGGTGACCAGTATTGTCCTCTGAGCTAACTCTTCCGTGTCATCTTACAGGATCCTACCCTCAGTCCCCAGAGCCCACTTGTGAGCAGCCTCTGATCCATCTGTCCAGCCTGAAAGCCTCTTTAAAGAGGCTTCTTTATTGATTTTTTTCTATAGTGTATACATTATATTCTATTAAATCTAAAAAGAAAAGATCAGTACTTTGTATCATTCAATATCTCTTCATTCAAGGAAGGTGCATGTCTTAAGTCTTTGCTGTGTACCTGGAAGTAAGTAAAACAAAGGATAAAAGAAATGTCCTGCTTTCAGGGTGTTTAAACTCTAGTGAAGAGCAACACACAGTAAATATCAAAATTTGTATATAGAGATCTGCACACACAGACACATTTGTACCCTGTGTATGTAACCTTCTGTTGCTGTGATAAACGCCATGACTGAGGCAACTTATAGAAGGAGGAGTTTCTTTGGGCTTCTGGTTCCAAGGACTAAGTGTCCATGATGGCTGGGAGGCATGGCAACTGGGAGGCATGGCAACTGGAAGGCATGGCAACTGGGAGGCATGGCAACCGGAAGGCAGAGAAGGCAGAGCAGGGAGCTGAATGCTCACATCAGCTGTAAGCACAAAGCAGAGGAGAGAACTAGAGTGGAGTGAAGATATGAAAACTCTCAAATCCTGCCTCCAGGGATGCTTCCTCCAGCATGGCTGCATCTCCTAAAGCTTCCCCAACAGCACCACAAACTGGGGATCAAGTGCTCAGATACCTGAGCTCATGGGGACATTGCTCATTAGAATCACTACATATCCATATGCAAATGAGAATTTGGGTGAAGATAAAAGTTATGAAGAAAAGCAAGGCATAAAACGTTTTTACTGTGTTACAGCTCTGAAGGGAAAGGCTCCCCCAGTGGAGGTGCTGCAGTTCCGAAGGGAAAGGTATCCTGGCAGTTGAGAGCCAAGGAATACCACGGTGTCACTCCACACAAGCCTCACACGAGAGTCTTATTGGGAAACACACAGGAGGGTGGATGCCTCTGCTTGGGAGATATCAAGGGTGGAAACTGGTGGGATTTCAAGTACTGAGCTTGGGCGCTCAGGGATTGGAGGGATTCTAAACTCAGATACTAGTGAGCTTTTGAGCCCAACAATTGGTGGAGTTTTAAGCCCCAGAAGTGAGTTCAGACCTTTTTTTTTTTAACCAGATAATTACACTTACAGATTCTTTTGTTTTGGTAGTTAGCATAATTTAGGCATTGTAATGATTTTTTTTTTTAGCTTGACATAAACCAGAATGATTTGGGAAGAGGGAACTGCAATTTAAGAATTGCCACCATCAGACTGGCTTGTGGACAAGTCTGTGAGGCATTGCCTTGATTACTCATAGGAAGCCCCAGGGCACTGCAGGTGGTACCACTTTTGAAAAAGTAGTCCTGGGTTATACAAGAAAGTAAACTGAGCCATGGGGAGCAAGCATTCCTCTGTGGTCTCTGTTCAGCTTCCAAGTTCCTTCCTTGAGTTCCTGCCCACCTTCCCTCAAAAATGGACATGGAAGTGTAAGCCAAATAATCTCTCTGCTCTCCTTCTTGATTTTCATTAGTTTTTGGTCACAATAATATAGAATACCTTTAGAAATTCTACAACAGGAGCCTATATTAAGTTCCTGCTATTGAACTTGCCTGGGAGTTCTTCTGGTTGGATAACACATAGTAGTGATGCTATTCTTGGACCAAGTCCTTCTGTACTACAAAAGGCAGATGTGCGAACATCCTCCATACTGAACCCTGGGCTTTCTTCTGTCTCGCCCTCCCTTCCTCCATTTGCACACAATCTGAACACTCTCTTTGTCCTGCACCAGCTCTTTTCAGTCTGCAGCCAAGTGGTTCTGAACCAACAAGAAGACCTGGAGTAAGAACAAACAGAGGATTTTGTTCTATCTCTCAAGGAAAGCTACAGAGGCGCAGTCTTGTTACATGGTGTCTGGAAAGTTAAAAGTAAAAAGTGTTCCATTCCAGGATGAAGTGCCTGTTGCTACATCTTGCTGCTGGTGACAGTTCATGTGGAATGTGTAAGTGTGGTTCTGTATGTCTTCTGAAAAGCAGAGATCCCTCTTTATCACGCTCAAACTTGAAATGAGCCCCATCATATTATGAGAATCGTAACTGTCACATATTTCTTTCCTAGTTTTCTCTAAATAATGTTTAAGAAGCATTGTACACTTATTTCTTTTGTAAAGCTGGTGGGCGGTTTTCTAAAAAATGTGAGACTCAATAGATTTCTTTGTTCAAAATACTGAGAGAGAATCCCAGTGCTCATGGAATTCTCTTATTATCTTTTTAAATTAAAAGAGGCAAAATGGTGGTAAGATAGCTAATTACAGTCAAGATAAAAGGTTTAAAGCACCGTTGTTCCACAAGTGCATAGAAAACTTATGGTGGGTCAGGACAAGAGTCGCGCTCAAAGCTCCCCTTGCATCTAAGAAACATTTTTCTAAAGCTAAATATCTCCTTTTACGCCCTTGGTGAAGAAATTTTAATAGTGCCTGCATGTTAAAGTAGTGTTAAAACAGAGAGTATAGTTTTCAGAACTAAAAAGAAGAAAAGAACACACTGAGGGACACTGTACCCTTGAACCAGATAACAACAGTGGGCATTGTCTGGGTGGGCACCACCCGTAGGCCCTCCTCCGCCACCACACACTGTTGCGAGGAGGAGGTTAGAGGTTCTGAAGGCACCAGGCTGCTCTCTTACTGCCAGTGCTGACTGTGGACTCTTTCCAGACTTTCACTCTCTACGACTTCCCTCGGGTTTCCTAGGGTGTAATCTGTTAAAGACCAAGCTGTTTGCATGAGTAGCAAAACATTCTTTTGTTTATATAATAACGTAGTTTTAGTTTTCATGAGTCATATCTTAACTGAACTACCTACTAAAGCATTACTTGGCTATTTCAGACTCTCCTGTGATAGTTGTTTTACAACCTGATCTTATGAAAGTGGATTGGAGAGGATCAGTGACTTACCTAAGGTACCCTGGGAGGTGACAAGGGTATGACCTGACCCAGAATTTACCCAATAACCTGTTTGCTACGTCAGTTTTGATGCTTATGATGGTCCGAGTTGCCCAAGAAAATATATTTCTATCTTTGTGTATATGTGTGTGTGCTGTGTGTATGACCGTGAGTATGGTGTGTATGTGTACTCCACCCCTCTGAAAGGATAAACTTAACAATTTAGCTGCTTATTTGTCCTCAACATCTAGCCTTGGATGTGTGATCCCAAGGGCTCTCACTTCTTGTTGTATAAAGACACAGACCACGGCCCACTTAAAAGCTAGATTGTCAAACCCCCCACCCCGCCACACTGTGTTTAAAGTCTCCCTTTGCTCTTCACTGGTCATGGGTCCTTGGTTGAGTTAATTCAGTTCAGCACTCTCCATCTGCAAGAGAGTTATTAGTAACTAACTCAAGACCACTGCAAGAACCAAATGAGTTCATGTACTACGAGTCTGGTAAACAGTAAGCTCTCAGTGTGTTGACAACTTGCTCCCCTCCTCCTCGAGACAATTATCTATATAAATTTGTGTACCATAGCTGCATTTTTATTATGTTAAGTGACTCAAACATGGGGACTGAATTTAGTTTTCAGACTCACACTCCATCATGCTCTATCCCAGCATGCTTTGAACTCTTATGTTCTTAATTTTCTACCAAAGATGATCTTCCTGTTTTGCGTTCCTTGGGCTAATCTTTGCCCAGATCACTAAAGTTGCTGCCTGTGTTCCCAACATCCCATCATATTTGCATAGATTACAGATGGTCTGCATAAAACCTCTGATTGTTTTCAGGAGTTTCGGTGGGTCTCTGAACTCTAAAGAGCGTGTAGCAGTCTGCAGGATCACTCCTGTTTTTATCAGAATTCGGTGGTTTTGTACCAATCAGCAGTGCCCTTTGCCGGTCTGGCAGGCAACCGTCCCAGCCCCCCAGGGTCTATCACTGCAGTTGCCTAACCATGTCTCTGTCTCCGTGTCAGGAGAGCTGTGGTCCTAGGACAGGAAGCAATCTTTGTAGCCCAGACTGCACTAGAATATAACCTTGATCCATAATGAACCTGGCTTTTGTAGGGTCATTCTAGTGCAGTCAGAAAATGGCCTGCTAACGAAATGTTCCTCTGTCCTGAATGACAGCTCCTGCTGTCCCTCTTCAACCACACTGAGCACGTCTGTGC